GATTTTTTTTACAGAGCATTGATAAACGTATTATTTAAGTGTTTATTGTCAAGGATGGATAAGAAATTATTTTAATAACAGGAGTTGTTAGTATATGTGATAAAAATAGAATATACATGAAAGAAAAATATCTGTATTTGTATGCACCTGGTAATATTGATTTATAATGTATAATACTTAAATGGAAAAAAGTTACAGTTGATTTGAAATCCATAACGACAATGGAATATTTTAATATATCCTCTGAATAAGTGAAAAAAGCAAGAAAATAAGATTTGTTAGTATATAAATATCTGAACAAAAAGTAAATTGAATATTTCTAAGAAATTTCTACACAAAGTCATTTGAGGAAAAAATGACCATTTTTAATGACAGAAAATTGAACACAATAACAAAGACATACTAAGGAATTACATTCAGCTCTGAGTAACAGAAACCTCCCCAAACCTCTGTAATATGAGGAAGGTGCTTGTTCCCACATGGAAGGACTGGACCAGCACAGCCACTCAAAAATGCAGTAGGAGAACAAAGTCCCATGTATTTTTTTGGCTGCACCATCACAGCTGTCATGGTGGAATTAGGAATGCAGAGCCACTAGAAGTATTAAGAGAACAGGGTGTTCACTATACAAATTAGATCTTTCAAAAATATAGTTAGATCTAGGGAAGAGGGAAGTCAGAGCAGCAGAGAAGATGACCAACCATTACAGTCCAAATCAGTGGCCTGGACATGTTAAGTCTTGCAGAAAAACCAAACTGTGGGTGTTTGAACACAGAAGTGGGTCCTTGATGCTGAGCTAGTGGAGATGTCTTTGGAAGCCTACACCTCTGAGAAAATGGAAGTCAAGCACTTGGTGTTTGTATTGAAGATACTCTTGAATGTCAGGGCAATGCATCAGAAAAATGAATTGGAAGTCGGTGTCCATGAGGCCTTATACCTGTCCCCGTGTATTATGGCTTCAAAAATTCAGGAATAGCTTCTTCACTTTCGCCTTCCATATCTCACACTAGTTAAGTTATTGGTATTTTGAAGATGGAACCAGAAAGGGAAGGGATTTGGGTAAACTTAATTTCAAACATGTCCCATGTTGACACAACACGATCCTAGAGATCCATCTCCAACTCTAGATTTCATTGTCATACCACAGGTTTTTCTAAATTCAAAGCATAGCGTCCAATTTCCATTCAGACGCAAGGATGAAAACCAAAGGGCAAAAGTTGAAAATAACAGTTCACCTCAGGCTACACTTACGGAAGGACTGTACATAATTACAAATTTTCTAGTATTTATTAGTAAGAAAAATGGAATAAGGCCCCTCTGGAAATAAAAAGGAAACCCTGCATAGTGGAAAACCCTGGTGTCGTAGTGGTTAAGAGCTACGGCTGCTAACCAAAAGGTCAGCAGTTTGAATCCACCAATCCACCAGGTGCTCCTTGGAGACCCTATGGGGCAATTCTACTCAGTCCTATAGGGTCGCTATGAGTCAACTCGACGGCAAAGGGTTTGGCTTTTTTTTTTTTTTTGACAATTAAAAAAATTAGATTCTTCAAGCAAGAAAAGTTATCTCTATGTAATGGGTAACTGATATCCACCGTCTTGCACATTAGGCCACTAAGAAATTCTCTTCAAAGTGTCATTGTTCTAATAACTACTTACTTCCAGAAAAATTAAAAATGACATAAAAATTAAATTGACTCACATAAATGAAAATACACTTTAAAACATCCATGGGTGCAGCAGACTTCAAACTGGGAAGACATAACTTTTACTTACTGAATAATAAGAAAAATACTACCGTCAAAACTTATGTACTATAACAAAAAGACTACATAGAAAAATATTTCTCACTTAAATGCTAATTCCTGAGAAGAAGTCGAAATTAACACCCAATGGGTCCTCTTTAAGGATGAGGTACTTATAAAGACTATATCACATTTATAGCTTTTGTAAGATTTTTTTCTTGGTGTCATGTTTTTTTTGTGTGCTTTAAGTTTACAATTCATGTTAATTTCTCATTCAAAAATTTATACACATGTTGTTTTGTGATATTAGTTGCAATTCCTACAATGTGACAGTACACTCCTCCTTTCCACCCCGGGTTTCTTGTATCCATTCGGCCAGTTCCTGTCCCTTACTGCTTCTCATCCTGCTTTTGGACAGGTACTGCCCATTTGGTCTTGTATATCTGATTGAACTAAGAAGCACATTCCTCATGTGTATTTTTGTTTGTTTTATAGTACTGTCTAATCTTTGTCTAACGGAGAAAAGATGGAAGTTGTCAAGGATTTCATATTACTTGGATCCACAAAAGCACCCATGGAAGCAGTAGTCAAGAAATCAAGACACATTGCATTGGGCAAATCTGCTACAAAAGACCTCTTTAAAGTGTTGAAAAGCAAAGACGTCACCTTGAAGACTAAGGTGCGCCTAACCTAAGCCATGATATTTTCAATCGCATCATATGCATGCGAAAGCTGGGTAATGAATGAGGAAGACCGAAGATTTGATGCCTTTGACTTGTGGTGTTGGCAAAGAATATTGAATATACCATGGACTGCCAAAAGACTGAATGAATCTGTCTCAGAAGAAGTACAACAGGAATGCTCCTTAGAAGCAAGGATGGTGAGACTGCATCTTACATACTTTGGATACGTTGTCAAGAGGGACCAGTCCCTGGAGAAGGACATCATGCTTGATAAAGTAGAGGGTCATCGAAAAAGAGGAAAACACTCAACGAGATGGATTGACACAGTGGCTGCAACAATGGGCTCAAGCATAACAATTGTGAGGATGGCGCAGGACCGGGCAGTGTTTCATTTTGTGGTGCATTGGGTTGCTACGAGTCAGAAACGACTCGAAGACACCTAACAGCAACAACAACAATCTTTGTCTGAAGAGTGGGCTTCAGGAATGGCTTCACTTCTGAGTTAACAGTGCTTCCAGGGGTCATAGTTTCAGGGGTTCCTCCAGGCTCTGTCAGACCGAGTCTGGTGTTTCTACGTGAATTTGAGTTCTGTTCTACATTTTTCTCCTGTTCTGTCTGGGACTGTTTGTTGTGTTCCCTATCAGTTGGTCATTGGTGGTAGCTGGGCATTATCTAGTTCTTCTGGGTGGTGGAGTCTCTGGTTCATTTGGTCCTTTAATCCTCTTGGCTAGTATTTTCCTAGACTCTGATTTTCTTCATTTTCTTTTGCTCCAAGCGAGATGGGACCAATTGAAGTACCTTAGATGGCCACTCGCAAGCTTTTAAGATGATTGGTGTGAATTTTCTAGAGCATTTTACATGAATTATTTTTCAGGAGGCATTTCCACCTTTCCTGGAGCCTTGTTTTTAGCCATTCACTTCAGTGCAACTTGGACTTCTTCAACAAATGGATGCAACGCTGGAGGTGCTCACTTCTCTATGTCAAGAAGTTTGGAACACAGCTTCCTGGCCAACTAACTGGAAGAGACCCATATTTGTGCCCATTCCAAAGAAAGGTGATCCAACAGAATGTGGAAATTATCAAACCATATCATTAATGTCACACACAATTAAAATTTTGCTGAAGATCATTCAAAAACAAAAACAATGCAGGAGTGCATTGACAGGGAACTTCCAGAAGTTTAAGACAGATTCAGAAAAGAACGTTGAAGAAAGGTTATCATTGCTGATGTCAGATGTGTTTTGGCTGAAAGCAGAGAATACCAGAAAGATGTTTACCTACGCTTTATTGACTATGCAAAAGCATTCAACTATGTGGATCATAACAAATTATGGATAACATTTCGAAGAATGGGTATTTCAGAACACTTAATTGTGCTCATGCAGAAACTGTACTTAGGCCAAGAGGTAGTTGTTTGAACAGAACAAGGGGATACTGCATGGTTTAAAGTCAGGAAAGGTGTACATCAGGGTTGTATCTTTTCACCATACTTATTCAGTCTGTATGCTGAGCAAATAATCCAAGAAGCTCGACTATATGAAGAATGAGGCATCAAGATTGGAGGAAGACTCATTAACAGCCTATAATATGCAGATGACACAACCTTGCTTGCTGAAAACGAAGAGGACTTGAAGCACTTACAGATGAAGATCAAAGACTACAGCCTTCAGTATAGATTGCCCCTCAACTTAAAGAAAGCAAAAATTCTCAGAACTAGGCCAATAGGTAACATCATGATAAATGGAGAAAAGATTGAAGTTGTCAAGGATTTCATTTTACTTGGATCCACACTCAATGCCCGTAGAAGCAGCAGTCAAGAAATCAAACAACGTATTGCATTGGGCAAATCTGCAGCAAAGGACTTCTTTAATGTGTTAAAAAGCAAAGATGTCACTCTGAGGACTAAGGTGTGCCTGACCCAAGCCATGGTATTTTTAATCATCTCATATGCATTCGAAAGCTGGACAATGAATAAAGAAGACCGAAGAAGAACTGACACCTTGGAATTATGGTGTTGGCGAAGAATATTGAATATACCATGGACTGCCAGAACGAACAAACTGCCTGAAAGAAGTACTGCCAGAATGTTCCTTAGAAGCAAGGATGGTGAGACTTCATTTCAGGTTCTTTGACATGTTATCAGGAGGGACTAGTCCCTGGAGAAGGATACCATGCTTGGTAAAGTAGAGGGTCAGTGAAAAAAAGGAAGACTCTCAATGAGTTGGATTGACACAGTGGTTGCAACAATGTGCTCAAGCATAACAAAGATTGTGAGGATGGGGGAGGACAGAGCAGTGTTTCATTCCATTGCACATAGGGTGGCTATGAGTCGGAATCGACTTAACAGCATTTAACAACAACATTCCCACCTTACATTTATACTGATCTTCTCTAGTGTGTACTCCCATAAAATATTAAGGAGTAGGAAAAAACGAAGTCTTTCCCACATTGCTTACAATCATAGAATTTGTCTCCAACGCGCAGTCTTATATGCTTTGGTAAAGATGACGGCTATTTGAAAGTTTTCTCACATTCCTTACATTAACAGGGTTTCTCACCAGAATTCATTCTCACATATTCTCAGAAGTATGACAGTCCACTGAAAGTTTTCCCACATTACCATCCTTATGTTCACTGGGTTTCTCTGCAGTATGCATTGTTGCACGTTCTCAAAGGTATGACAGTCGACCGAATGTTTTCCCACATTGCTTGCATTCGTAGGTTTTTTTTGTCCATTGTACATTCTAATGTGTCTTAGAAAGTGTGAAAGTTGACTAAAAGTTTTCCCACATTAATTTCAGTCACAGAGTTTCTCTCCACTCTGCAATCTCATATGTTTTTGGAAAGATGAAGTGTACAAAAAAAACTTTGCCATGGTGTATCTTTGACTATGTGTATTTTCACCAAAAAAAAAAAAAAAAAAAAGGTTGAGAAGTTAGAGGGTTGATATGTTGTGGGGTTGTTAACCAATGTCATAAAACAACATGTGTACTTCTGTTACATGAGAAACTATTTGTTCTGTAAGCCTTCACCTGATGTACAATAAAAAAATAAATTAAAAAAAAAACTTTGCCACATTGTTCACATTCATAATATTTCTCTCCATGTGCATTCTCATATGTATTATTAAAGATGAAGAATACTTGAAGACTTTCTCACATTCTTTACATTCATAAGATTTCTCTTTACTATGGGTCCTTCCATGCCTTTGGAAGTTATTTCTACAACTGAAGGCTTTCCTACATTGCTTATATTCATAGTGTTTTTCTCCAGTGTGTATTCTCGTATGCATTGGTAAAGACGACAGATACTTGAATGCTTTCCCACATTACTTACATACATTGGATTTCTCTTGACCATGCATTCTTTCATGTTTTGGGATGGAATTTCTACAAGTGAAGGTTTTCCCACGTTGCATAGATTCATAGGGTTTTTCTCCACTGTGTATTCTCATATATACTAGTAAAGATGAAGAATACTTGAAGGCTTTCCCACATTCCTTACATTCATAAGTTTTCTCTTTATTATGGGTCCTTTCATGCCTTGGAAGGAATTGCTATAACTGAAGGCTTTCCCACACTGCTTACATTCATAGAGGTTTTCTCCAGTGTGTATTCTTACATGCATTGGTAAGGATGAGAGGCATTTAAAGGTTTTCCCACATTCTTTACATTTATAAGTTTTTCTTTACTATAAGTCCCTTCACACATTTTAAAGAAATAGATATACCTGAAGGTTTTCCAACATAATTTACATGCAAAACGTCTTTCTATACTGTGATTTCTCACGTGTGTTCTTAGATTTGATGGAGAGTTAAAGGCCTTCCCACATTCCTGACATTGATGTGGTTTCTGTTCTGTGTGACTTGCAAATTGCCTCTTAAGCGGGGAATGATGCATGAAGACTTTTCCACACTCACAGCATTCACATCGATTGAATCCAGTAGCAGTTTCCTTGTACAGAGTAAGACTTGAAATCTGGCTGAAGGTTTCTCCATATTGATTACATTCGTTACTTTCACAGAGTCTCTCAACCATATGATTTCTCTTAAAATAGGGAAGCATAATAATTAATAGTATATTAATGATTTCTTAATATTCATTAATAAATATTAAGATTCCACTTTATTCATTTTAGTAAAAAAAGGGGGATTTGGCACTATTTTGTTAGAATGGAATAAACTGAATGCTCTGAAGGAAGGCTCAACCAAAACCATTAATAAAATAATGTTTCTTATATACAGGGTTTCTTTATAACTGCTTCCAACTAAATTATGACTGTAACACCCAATGTTTAAGCCAAATTAATCAACAAATTTTTGTGACTATTTCTTGTGAAAAACAAAGATAGAGCTAGGTGTATGTTGTTTTTTACTTTTGGGTTACTATTTTAATTTCATGAAATACCAAGATGCACACCTGGAATACTGCTTTCTCTTGTAAGTGCAACTCACCTCAGATTTATTCCATGGTCACTGTGCTGATCTTTGATGCTAAGACCTTCCCAAATTTTTCCTAAAACATGTCCAAGAATCATTTCTGGTGAACTTTAGTATTTTATGTACCTTTATATTTTCTTCCCATAAATATTCTGTAGAGAAGTTGACCCTTTATAAATTGACTGTCATCTTAAAAAAAAGTGAACAAATCTTACAAAGAAGGAGGTACCTGTTAGTAAAAAAAAAAAAAAAAAAGTGTTAAAGAGTTTCAGCTGTTTAAGGACTTTATCAATAACAGGCAGCAATGGTCAAAATGGAAAGCAATTTCCTAGTAACAAAAATTTATAACAAGATTTACAAAAACAGAATTCTCTGGGCCTCAAAATGAGCCAGGAAACCAATATCCACACTGATGGCACTAGGAAAACTTCCACTCTTCACAACTCTAAGGGAACTTCAAGTCTTCACCAACACAGAAATAGAAACTCAGTTTAATATATAGATTCCCATAGTTATGGATAAACTATTATTCCTGGCTCCATGATGGGCAGTGACCGTGTCGGTCTTATTGACCAATGTATTCATCTCTCCACATTACAAATCTCAAAATAGTAATGATAAGCAAGAAGTGGTTCTCTAAATAGCTAAGTGAAGGAATAATGTCATCCTTACCTACTGATATTAAGTTCTAGAAGGTTTCCAGCATCACATCTCTGTAGAGCCTCTTCTGAGCAGGATCCAGCAATGGCCACTCCTCCAGAGTCAAGTCCAAAGCTACATCCTCCAAGATCATTGACTCCTAAAATATGAGGTACGTGTTCAGGAGGATGGGTGAAGGTGACAGCACTGGGGGACTGGACTCAATTTATAAGATGTTCAATCAAGCTTCTGTGGTCACCTAACAACTACCCTATGACTCAGTCATGAGACCTCTTACTCTCTGTTTACCTGCACTAACTCATAGATTAAACAGCACTGCTAACACATGGAAGTTGCCTCTACATTTTCAATATGATCACTTGACGTCATATTCCTCTCTGGCAGAAAGGTTCAGGATACACGGGAGAAATGAGAGATATACTATAGAAATGAAAAAAACACTTTTGTTTCTAAGATAATTCTTTGTGGAAAAATAATTTCATCACTTTCTTTTTTGCTTACCACATCACTCAACACTATGTGAATCAAAGTTTCAAACGCAGATGAGGTTTTAAGGAATAAAAACTGATTGAAGAACTGAGAGTCTTTCTTTCTATTTCCCTCACCAAACATGAAAAGTCAAGGAGCCTGTGTAAACCCAACTTGCAGCAAGAGCCAGATAGCCAAAATATCTTCAAGAACTCCAGGCTATTAGAATTAGACAGGTCCAATTGGCTCAATGAAAATATTTCTTTGTCACAGTATTAATTTTAACTTATTTGTGTAATAGTCACCACAGATTCAGTTTCTACTCTTGCTATCTGTGCCATTTCATAAAAATAGGATGTTATCGAGTTATAGCTCAGGAAAGAGGAAAAAGACATGAGAACTTGTACTTGCACAGTTCCCTACACTCCTGAGACTTGTTGCTACTACCCACCAATTTTGAGTTCATGCATACACCCGCACACACACAGGTATAAGTTGTCAAAAGAACTCTTTCACCTCAGCCATAAAGTACTCTTGGCCTTGCTGACCTTGAGGAATGTCTTAGTCATCTAGTGCTGCTACAACAGAAATACATCTAAAGTGGATGTCTTTAACAAAGAGAAATTTATTTCTTCACAGTAAAGTAGGTTAAAAGTCCAAATTCAGGGAGTCAGCTCCAGGGGAAGGCTTTCTCTCTGTTGGCCTTCTCATCAATGTTCCCCCAGACTAGGAGCTTCTCCACGCAGGGACCCCAGGTCCAAAGGACATGCTCAGCTCCTGGCACTGCTTTCTTGGTGGTATGAGGTCCCCCTGTCTCTCTGCTCGCTTCTCTCTTTTATATCTCAAGAGATTGCCTCAGGACAGAATCCAATCTTGTAGATTGAGTCCTGCCTTACTAACACAACTGCCACCTATCCTCCCTCATTAACATCATAGAGGCTTGATTTACAACATATAGGAAAATCACACAATACCAGAAATCATGGCCCAGCCAAATTGATACACTTTTTTGGGGGACTTAATTCAATCCATGAGAAGGAGGATATTAAGAGTCCTACTCGGCAAAGGAATTACTTGAAGTCCAAATGCAAAGGCATTCGACTGTGTGGATCATAACAAATTATGGATAGCATTGCGAAGAATGGGAATTCCAGAACACTTAATTATGCTCATGAGGAACTGTACTTAGACCAAGAGGCAGTCGTTCAAACAGAACAAGAGGATACTGCGTGGTTTAAAGTCAGGAAAGGTGAGCATCAGTGTTGTATGCTTTCACCATACTTATTCAATCTGTATACTGAGCAAAATAATCCGAGAAGATGGGCTACCTGAAGAAGAACACAGCATCAGGACTGGAGGAAGACTCATTAACAGCCTGTAATATACAGACGACACAACCTTGCTTGCTGAACCTGAAGGGGACTTGAAGCATTTACTGATAAAGATCAAAGACTACAGCCTTCAGTATGGATTGCACCTCAATATAAAGAAAACAAAAATTCTCACAACTGGACCAATAAGCAACATCATGATGAATGGAGAAAAGATTGAATTTGTCAAGGATTTCATTTTACTTGGATCCACAATGAACACCTGTGCAAGCAGCAGTCAAGAAATCAAATGACATATTAAAACTCATTGCCTTTGAGTCAATTCTGACTCATAAAGACCCTATAGGACAAAGCAGAGCTGCCCCATAGAGTTTCCAAGGAGAGTCTGGTGGATTTGAACTGTCGACCTTTTGGTTAGCAGCCGTAGCACTTAACCAGTACTCCATCATGGTTTCCAATGACACATTACAGTGTGTAAATTTGCTGCAAAACACCTCTTTAAAGTGTTAAAAAGCAAAGATGTCACTTTGAGGACTAAGGTGTAAATGACCCAAGCCATGGTATTTTCAATCACCTCATATACATGGGAAAGCTGGACAATGAATAAGGAGGACCAAAGAAGAATTGATGCTTTTGAATTATGGTGTTGGAAAGGTATATTGAGTATACCATGGACTGTCAAAAGAATGAACAAATCTGTCTTGGAAGAACAGCCAGAATGCTCCTTAAAAGCGAGGATGGCAACACTTCGTCTCACATG